CTCCCCTTCTTTGACCCTTGGTTCCTAACATCATAGGGGTCTCATAGGATTTTATTTGGAATTTTTAGAATTATTTTACTATTTTTAGTGTATTTTATACTTTAGGTTACCCTTGTATGGCTTTCACCCTAATACTTGTGCTAGTTTGGTTCTATTTGGAATTTTGTGTATTGTTTGAGTACCCAATCTTCATGTATCCATGTCATGTGTATAATAAAGCATCGTAGGTTCAATTTTAGGCCTTGATCATGTTCATAACTTGTTTATGTTTGGCCTCCTTTTAGGACTTCCATTTAGGTCTTTTTCATGTGTATATGTTGAATGCTTTTCACTTCCTTAACATAATTCTCTTGCAATTTCTTATACATTCTTTTTCAAATGCTTTATGTACATCCTCATTTCATCTCCCTTTCTTTCCAAGGACCTTGGAGCACCATTTAAAGTTGTTTAATCCCTCCTTAGGAGGTATTTGAAGCTTGACTTGAATGGTGAACCATGAGGACACTTTTTGTGCATCTTTTGGCACAAGTCATAATGAGACTTTGGTTGAATGAAATTAGGGATATGGCTGTTTTCTCTTCTTCTCCCACTTCTCTTTTATTTTATGATTCATCCCATGTTCAAGTTAGAGGCCTTAGGGCATTGTTTGCACTTGTTCAATGTGTGTTTTGCACTTCTTTTTTCTTGCTTGCATTTGAAGGTTGAGATGAGCTTGTGGTGGTCTTTTCCCCCACACAATTTCCTCCATTTCTTGTGTGTTTTCTCTTTGTGTATCTCTTGTTTGCATTAAAGGTTGAGGTTTCCTCCCTTTGCTTGTAATTTTGCATTGCATGTGCATTCATTCACATTCACATTTCAATTCAAGTATTGTATGTTGCTTCTTTTCTTTGCATTACCATGTTCCCTTAGAAGTTCTCACTTCCTTGTTTAAGGATAGTGATTATAGACATTAGGCTTCCATCCATGTATGCAAACATTAGGTAGTTTCCCTTCTTAACCTCAACTTTAGGACCATGATGCATGATAACTTTAGAGTTTTGATTTAGTCCCCTTTAGAGTCCTTTCTCTTTTCTCATCTCAAAACAATCTTAAAATACTTAATAAAGGCTAATGAATATTGTACGTTACGAGCCTTAAGTACTTGGGAAATAGTGATTGGGGGGTCACCTCTCAATTGCTTAGAGTATTTAGTGTATGTCCTTAGAACGATATGCGACACAATTGTTCCTGAGTCATAGTCTCTAGTGCAATATGAATTACAAACATTCATCCAAAAACACTTCTCTAATAAAAGACAAAAACAAATGATCAAACTCATTTTGTCCCTGTGGACCCTTTAATCAGGAAAACATTTTCATAAACAAGAGTGTTGTTAACTCTTAGTTCTACCGCAAACGGTAACGCCGAAGTCTCCAATGGTCGAGCTGCATACACCAAACTGCTGGAACTATTTGTTAACCCTACTCAGGTAATAAAACATGAACAAATTGATGTTTTTATTTGCCCGAACTACGTTTGCTCTAATCTCTCATACCTGTTGAGAGTACGTAGGTACAAGATGCGATATCTTAACAAGCAACCTTTCCCCCTTTCACCCGTAGTTAGTCGAACTACGTTGACTCTGACTTTCCCATTGCACAAGGGAATACGTAGGCCCAGAAGGGCAATGCTCTGTCAAGTCCCTTTTATTTTCTTTTGTCCCTAAGACCTTTAGTTAGATAGTTTCAATCACCCTTCTAGATAGACAATCAAGCGTGGATCCCGTCGAGTACGACGAACGTGAGGGGTGCTAATACCTTCCACTTGCGTAACCGACTCCCGAACCCGAGATTTGGTTGGGATGACCAATCTTTTCCCTTTTTGTTAGGTTTTCTCTGATCATTTCCTTTCCCTCTCGTTGGGATAAATAACGAACGGTGCCGACTCTTCTGTCATTGTCGACACCTTTTTTTTTGCAGTAGCGACAATTAGGAACACTAAGAAAAATGAAGATTTGTTGAAGATGAAGATAAAGTTTATGGGTTATTTGTTGGGTTTGTCTATTGTGTTTGTATTGTTACTTGTGTTTGCATTAGTTGCAACACATGTATTCAAATGATTATGTGTAAAATGGTGTATCTGTAATGGCAAAATGGTTATGCGTAATTGGTTTGTATTAGTGGAAAAATGGTTATGTGATGAATTGTTATGTTTTGGTTACATTTGTCTGTTATGTTTTGTTTACTTATGGAATATGTTAGAATAATTCAATATAACACCTAATATGCATAATGTGGAATGTAAGCAAAATATAAACAAAAGAACTGGTATAACACCATGTTTTTAACTGGTATAGCACCCTAACAAATAACAGTTAACAAAATTGTGACAATTGCAATTTACTAGTATGTTAATAACTGGTATGTTAATATAACACCCTAACAAATAATAGTTAAAAAAATGTTACAAACTGGTAAACTTAGAATTCACATACCACAAACATTTTATATTCCTATAATCTTCACTTTTTTTTATCATAGTTTCAATCTGCATATAGGACATTAAGTCCACGTCCCAATCCCAATTCATTTCAGCCACTGTTTCATCGATATACAACATTACAGGATGATATATCATTTGTCTCTTGTGGTGAATTATAAGTTTGACAATTTGCTTTTCTGTTGGCCTACATACACAAAATAGGATAAAACAAATGGTTGCAGACATTATGGGCCACAATAATATAGACCACAATAAATTAAACATTATATACTAGGATTACAATAAATTATCAATAAACTCACAATAACATATCAGAACTTTTGGGACCACCATAACATAACAAAACCATATACAATAAACGCATTCAGATAAACATTACAAAAACACATATAACTCACAATAAACGCATTCAGAACACATGGTATTCAAACATTGAGACATAGCCATTTATCTCAAAACATATGTTGGGTTTGACATGTTGAACTCAGAATGAGCAATCTCGAATGCGCAACAGTAGAAGTAGAAGACGAAGACGAAATCTACAATGTTGCAGTAGTAGAAGTAGAAGATGAAGACGAAATCCACAAGGTTTGTGTTTATGTGGATCGGCGAAGGTTTGCAGCAGTAGCAGACGAAGACGGAAGTTAGGATTTGTGTTATTGGAGAAAAATAGGAAACACATAAGATTGTTCAACCAGAAAAGCTTGAAGTATTATTTCTAATGACTTTTGTTATTTAGATTATTTAGCATATTTAAATAAAAGTAACATAAACGTAAAATAATAAAAAGGAATTAAAATATTAAAAAGTCTCAATCATTAATTTGACATTGACATGTTGGCAAATTTGAGTGTCAGGTCATCAAAAATTGGCCTCAGACTGGGTGGAAGATTAAAATCCTCATCAAAACACACTTTTTGGTTCCTTCCGAATTGGGGGGATTTGGAGGGGAAGGGAGGGAATATGAGTTTCGATATTTAAAAAATATTATATTTACTAAAATATCTTCAGTTTAATTTCAGTATTTCAAAACTATTCATTTTCTTTCGTGTTATTACTTTTTCTCGATTGTTTCCATCAACTTATTATAATTGTTCTCCACCTTCAAATTATTTTATAATTTCTATATTTAGTATAAATCATAATCATTGCCTTTTTTTTTATATAAAAAATTATGTTTAGTTATATTCGTTTTTTTTCTGTATTCTATCATATTTTCTTTTATATCAAATTGTAAACCATTCATTTTATTTATTTATTTTATTCATTTTATTAAATATTTTGAACCAATTAATATTTAATAATAAGTTATTTTATATATTTGTTTTGTTATATGATTCATAATAATTTAAACGATGTTATTAGCATATATTTTAATTTAGGTTAGAAAATTATAAGTCGAATCAATTGTACTCAATTTTTTTAATTTTATGTGACAAATAAATACTTTTTTAATCACTTAATATTAAAAATTTTATTACCAACAAAAATAGGCATGAATTTTTCACATTTTAATATCATATGACTTATATAAGATCATAAGGATAAAAATGTAAATTATTAATAAAACTTCTCCCCTCCCCTTCTGAACCAAACACATTTTTAATTAAAATCTCTCCCTTCCCCTCCCCTCCTCTCTTTTGAACCAAACACTTATCTAATTAAAAAAATCACTCACCTCCCCTCTCCTTCCCTCCCCTTCATTAAAATCTCTCCCCTCCCCTCCCCCTCATTTGAACCAAATAGACCCTAAAAGATCAAGTTTCTTTTGTAGGAATTAATGTTTACAATTGGAGTACATTGATATTACATATACTAATTAAAAAAAAGTAATAATATGATATGGTGTTGCTCTTTGCTTTTGTCAAAGGATCCACACCCTTTTTCAGACATATAAGCGATGTTATTGATTAACTTGACCTATAGACTTTAGTATTTTTTTTGGATAATGTTAACTTTTGTCCTTGGGGCACATGTTAAGAAAATCACTTATAGTAAATTTGCATTGGAAAAAACTATTTAAAAATTAATTTTATACTTTAATTAAAGTTTATACACAATTTCCAAGACAATATTTTTTAATTTAGTTTTTAACATGTGCCATAAGGACACAAGTTATCATTATTTTTTTTTTTATGGGACTTTAGTACCTCTTCTGTTCTCATTAGATTTCAATTTTCACTCTCACCATAACTCAGTGACAAAGGCTTTAAATCCTTTTTCTTTCCCAAACCCTTTCTTTTTTGCCTTTTTCATCCAAATTAGAATTTTGAGTCTCCCCTTCAAGTTAATGCATATAAAAATTTGTAAAGACTCAAGCTTTCAAGTTATACATCGTTTTTTCGTTTCATAATTCATCTGGGTCATTGTCAACTTGTCTCAGTTTCAGTGAAATCGTAAAAGGGTCCGTGTGAGTGTGTTGTGAAGAGGGTTCTTCTTTATTTTTTGATTTAGTTACAAAACCCCATTTGGAAAAAGTTAAGATTTTTGGGACTTTGAGTGAAGTAAGGAAGAAAAGGATGATTCAGTTGTTGTTTTTAGTGATTTTTGCGGAGGGGGTTATGGCTTTTCTTATGTTGGTAAAGATAGGTCCATTGAGGGATCTTGTGATGAAGAGCTTGGATCAGCTCAAGATGGGGAAGGCTCCAGCTACGGTTAAGACTATTGCAGGCACAATGTTTGTGATTTTGCTTTCAAGCCTTATGAGTATTGTTAAGATCCAGAACAAAGGTGCTAAGCTTGGTACTATGTCCCCTATGGATCAAGTTCTTTGGAGAACTCACTTGCTTGAAGCTTCACTCCTTGGTAAGTTCATGCCTTTTCATCTTTCTCATTTGCATTTTTTTTATAGCTCTTATGATGCTAAGCTTAGTTAATTTTAAAGTCTTAGAAAGAAGTGTTGATGTGTTTTTTTGCTTGACCCTTCTTTGGTTTGAGCCTTGGTAGAAGCTTAATTAATTTGATTAGTTTTTGATTCACTTTTCTGCTGACCATTTCTGTCAGTTTTAAACTAAACTAAGGAAATATTGTCAGTTGCAATGGTTGTTCTTGAATAGGGTCATAGTTGAGGGCGTGCAAGATGGGCTAAAATTGTTGCTAAATAGGTCCGTCATGGTTAAATCATAACTAAACAGAATCTCTATTTGCTTTGTGACAGTTGAACCATGGCTAACCAACACACAGGACCTCTAAAAACTTAAGTCGGCCATGTTCTTGAATCAAAGCAACTTTTAAACGATGCAGTTGTTTTAGGCTGATGTAAGATGCAATTGCGGCAATTTTGTTGCCACATCTAGAGATTTGGTTTCATTATTTAAACCATTTCACAAAAGATAAATAAAGAAACAATTCTCTAGGTGTCTTGTTGATTGGCGGTTTTTGTCATGCTTTGGCCATGGCAGTGAGCTAAAAAACCGCCATGGCCGATATTTGACAACACTGAACGTACCCGTCATTATTAAGTTGCTATTAGAAATGGACATATTAAAAAGTTCCTTTTTTGACCGACTAATATGTGGACTCACTCGCAAGCCTATTTTGATTTCCAAAAATGTGATAATAAGGATTTTGGTATAGAAACAGGACATTGAGCAGTATACGGTATTGATTATTGAATAAGCTGATATGGGTATGATCGGAAAACTTTGGAGTTAATTTAGAATTGTATGAGGTAAAATCTATATCTAATGAGTTGAATCGAACTTCCAACAACTGGAATCCAATACCACCATCCTTCACTCTTTAGTAATTTTGGACCTTGTGATTTGTAAATGTGTCCATCGATTTTGACCTTGTAGCACCCTTACAAGCACTAGAATGGCCATGTGTTCAGGCAATGTGGGACTAAACTTACTCCAATACACCCTGCACAATGGAAGTGCTGGAGACTACAATGAAGACCATCCATTTTTTTTCTTGCAATTAAGGCAGCTAGGGATGGACCACGATTAAGGAGGGATTTCCATAATTGAATTTATCTATGTTTTTGGGTTTGTGATGCTATGTTTGTGTATTCTAGTCCGGTGGTTGTTTACAGAATATTTTGATTTTGTTATAGTGGTTTTCTTATCACTAAATTATATTACATCCACTCATTTTTTTATTATAACTTTCCCTAATAGTTTATCATAGAAATGTTGTGGAGATAAGAAAGCCTTAAACTGGAAAGTTAGTTTCTTATCACCTTCAATACTACTAACATCGAAGGCCCATGGCCTAGACGAGTGACCTCCATTGCACTTTGGAGGGTCTACCCTTTTTTATACAATGTAATTGAGTTATGTGTTCTATTCATTTATCAATTTTTTCATATCGGCTTCTTAAGATGACTTTTCTGTTAGTACCGATGTCACATCCTCAGCTTCTAAAAAATCGAGTTAACATGTTGACAAAATCATTAAATGTAAACTCAGGCAGATCTTGGATTTGAGGATGATTGAACAGTCTATTTATATTTCTCAAACATGCCTAACATGTTAGGCAATGGTCATGTTTACTTACCTGAATGATGAGGCTGCGTGATGCAAAAACATTGGCCTCACAATGGTAGCACAAGGTTGTCAAGATCTCGATCTAGATCATAAAATCTTGCGATTTTGCGATCGCACTCATCCTCAACGATTCCAATCTTAAGTAGAGTCATGTGTAGTAGTCAAATTGTGAAAAAAAATTGTAAAACCATTGATTATGTGCAATCTTGGCCAGTATCGGCTACCATCATTACAAGCCCAGAAGGATGATTAGATGCTGAGGCGTAACAATTACGGTTTGTCAGAGACTGTTTTTCTTATAATACACTTACCTACCAAAATATCATGTAAAAAAACTTCAAATATATAGTATTATTTTTTGTTTTAGTAATATCTTACGACTTTGTTACAATATTATGTTTTACAATCTTGCTACCCTCTCTCGATCTTACAAAAATAATTGGGTAGGATCTTCCAATCTTAGTAACGATCTTATGTTTCACAATCTTACTATCCCCTTGTGATCTTATGCAAGATCTCGATCTTGACAACCTTAGCACTAGACTCCACAACATCCTAACATAAGCCTATCCACAAAGTAGGTGAATATATAAGCAAACTCGTCGCCGCAACTTGCAAGTCATCCAAGAATCCAACAGGCCATTAGAGCGAATGAACTTGACTCTGATGGGCTAAAACGTAGCTCTAACAATCTGAATCTAATTCCAATGAGGGTAGCATAATACCACACCATCATCTGAATCTAATTCTATGATAGATGTTTTTGACTCTTATATATATTATTATTACACGGCCTCATTGTATTTGAGTGTTCGATTAGATTACATATTAAGATAGAGATTATCGTTATCGTAACTGAATTAATTTAATTTTGCAGGTTTTACATTATTCCTCGGATTCCTGATTGACCGAATGCACCATTATCTCCAAAAACTTATTAATTTAAGGAGTAACATGGGAGCTTCAAAAGAAAAGGTAGAGAATCTCAAAAAAGAAACCGTCGAGCTCAAAGAAAAGGAAGAGAGAGCCTCAAAGGAGATAAAACAGCTGAAGAAAGAACTTTCAACTCTGTCAGAAGGTATGAAGAAGGTAAAGACGGAATCCGAAGAGAAAGACAAGAGAGTTGAGACGGCCGAAGCTCACGTTGCTTCCCTCCAAAAACAAGCTGCAGATTTACTACTTGAATATGACAGACTCTTGGAAGACAACCAAAATCTTCAAGCTCAAGCAATGGGACATAAGAGTTGAGGGAAGACTGAAATACTTTAAAAAAACAATGTTTTGAGGAGAGCGATCTAACGAGAAGTATCCCTAGTTTTGTTGCAAAGCCTTCTTTATTTAACGAATGAAAGAAGGGTATTTTTTTTGGTTCTCCATGTGAAAGATAACAGATTTTGTAGTCCTCTCAGTTTGTTCAACATTTTGTTATGAAATTGGTTCTTAACAATTGGCGCAATAGTTGTTCTGCCATACTTAACACCAGTTAACCTTCCTTCATGCCACGAAATATTTCTTCAAAATTCAAATACATGGTTGTGATATTGATATGTTAACTATTTTATTTCTCAATCAAGCAATTGAAATAAGGAAGTTTATGAGAATCAGTATTGTTTCGCCGATGTCTATTTTGGAGTACTCACTTCTCCACATTGTACACAAGTTCAATTTTGCAACTGCTATTTGTGACTCAACGCACAAACATGCTCATCAATATTGAATATAAAAGAAGCAAAAACACAATTCTATTGTAACACCCCATATGTCTTGAATAATACTACACGTGACATTAATTTGGTAGTGAAATCAAAACGAGTATTTAGATGATATCATTGATCTTATCGGTTGATTAGAACTTGAGGTGGGTCAAAGTCAAGCGTCTGTGATCCTGGATGTGAAAGAGGAGGAGGGGATGTACCTGCAAACCACTCCGATGTTAAAGTAAGAAAACAAGTAAGAGAAAGAGTAAGTACAAAATACGAGTGTTTCAGGGTGAATATTGGATATCTGACCCTATCAAGTGAGAGGGTTTTTATAGTGCCCCCAGCGCTTGACCATTGGTCCTTATTTTTAGGGTGAGATAATTGTTTCCCGAAGAATAGGTAACTGTCAGACGTGCCCATAACTAGCCGTTGACACGGGTAGAGCGTAGTTACGAACACAAGCGTTTTGGCTGTTTCTGGATGGTGGAACCGTGCATGACGGGTAGAGACCGACGAGGAGGAGTGTTGCGACCAAGGGTAAATTGGTCAGCCTCCTCCGTTGGAGGGGCAGAAAGGTAAATTCTTCCCCCAAAGTGGTTGGACTTAGACAATTGGATCGTTCTGGGAACAGAAGTGAATTGGGTCATGCCTAGCCATTGGGCTAGTCCGGAACAGTAGCCCCCTAAGTCGTTGCTACCGAGCACGATAGTGATGCCTTAAGGATAATATGCTTTCCGGGCATAGTCGTCGTAAACTTCCTCGTGTCCGGAGAAACATTTGCCCGTGCGTCTGAATCGTTGTTGTCGAGGAGCTTGAGATTCGGGGAGCCCAACGATTGATGGGATCTAAAGAGTGGAGGTGCCACGTGTGCCTCGAGTCGTGTGCTGCATTAAATGTGTGATGATGGCTAGGCTAGGGTCATGATGATGCCCTACCCGCGCGTGCTCGTGCATGTGCCTGTCATTTTCCTATAAATAGTGAGAGGTTCTGTTCATTCAGAACTTTCGCTTCTCTCTCTTCTTGCTCATTGTTCTCTGTTCTCCGCCGCTTGCTGCCTTCAAGTTTTGCTCCGGCCACCGTACGACGTCTGACCAGAGCTACTCAAGTCCGAAACTTCTTCCTCGACCAAGTAAGTATGTTGGTTCCTTGTTCACTCTTTGTTTTTCTGGTATGATGTTGTAGAATGGATGTGGTTAGAACTGAAACGAAGTAGTTTTAGGCCGTTTTTGTGGTGGCTGCTGGTGGCAGACGGTGGCGCGACCATTTCCTCTGCTCCCGGCGCCGTAGTGGTTGTTTTTAGAAAAGAGAAAGTTAGCAAGCCATAGATTTTAGTTGATCCCAGAGTAGTGACGACACGGTGGCATTTGCTGCCGGAGGGGACCATGGATTCCGGTGGGTTCCTCATGAGAGTTCTGAGTTTTGTCCGCGGGGGAGTTTTCCCCGGATGTGCCAGGGAGAACTCCTGCGCACTTCCTCGTTTGTTTAGCTGTGCCATTTGAGTAGGGCTTATGTCGAGGATTATGTCTTTGGCCCTTTGCGCGCCCTTTCACTTGACTAACAGTGGAAGGGTGGATTTTATTTTGTCATCGAATTTACCTTTTTCCTCTGCTTTTCATGTAAAGGCGATGTCGCGCAGGGCTGACGAAGATGAACACCCCAGGGATTTGTCCGAGGATAGCTCATCAGAGGATACTGAAACAGACGATGACTCCTCGTCCCCTGATGCTGGAGGGATGACTACTGTGAGGACATCGGCCAAGGAGTGGACTGTAGCTGAGCCGATGGAGCATGCCTCGCTCTTCGCTTCATACACCGGAGACGTGTTTACTACGGTGGGGCCAGAGGGAGAGTGGAGGGTCCACTTCCCTTCAGAGGACGAACGTATTTGCTCGCCGTACGGGGAGAGATTTCCCATGTACGAATACGTTTTTAAAGAGATAGGGTTGAGGTTGCCCTTCACGGACTTTCAACGGGAAGTCTTCGTGCATTTAGACTTGGCGCATTCTCAACTGCATCCAAATTCCACTGCCTTCATAGGGGCGTATGAATTGGTGTGCGAATACTTGCAGATCGGGGCCACCCTTCCACTCTTCTTCACCATCTTTCATCTTCAACGGCAGGTGTCGGGGAGGAAGTTCGGTTGGGTTTCCTTGGAACAGGGAAGGAAATTGTTCAAGCCCTTCTCCGAATCTATCCAGACCTTTAAAGAGATATTTTTATGTGATTGAGCCCGTGTCGAAGAAAGCTACTAACTCGACCTTTGTGTGGGAGGTCTCAACAGATGAAAACGGGGAGGATCTGATAGACGAGAAGGGCAAAATAGTTTCCCGGAAGTTGTTTACATTCCCATTCTGCTGAAGTGGTGCTCACTTTACCCGTTCGACTAATGAGTACATAGTTACTTCTCATCAATTGGTCGATGATGATCGGGCTAGCTATGCCAAGCTGGTGGCATTTGTGGACGGATTCCTTCCTGCCAGTGCGTGACTCGCGCGGGGCAGGAGCTTTATGAGGAAGATGATGGGCTACAAGTGGAAGCCCGATATATGAATACTAAAGAGCTCCTTGAGTCTAGCACTTGCGAGGAGGCTCTCAAACGTTTGGGTAGCTTCTCACTTTTTCTTTGTTCGAGATGTTCCTCTTTCCACGCATTGATGTGCTCGTTATTTTTACAGGTAATATGTCTTCGGCACAGAAGAGGATGGTAAAGCATGCCCAAGGAAAGATGAAGGGCGGTGTTGCCCTAGGAAGAACTCGCCTTGGTCAACGAACAGCTCCCCTGCATACAGGATTGGGGACTTCCTCGTCAACTCCTCCGGCCACTTAAACGTCCCCTATGTAACACCCCCTTCTATACCCCCAAATAAACAAATAAATCACATAATCAAATTTTATCAGAGCAAATTTGAAACATGGTATAAAAGAAGTATGCCACATCATGCACAAAATAACATACAACACCTGCTCTATAAAAGACATGTAACAGTGGGGTAGCTCAACAGAGGAACTTAGTCCTTACACCCACATCTCAATATTTAGAATTAAAGCGGAAAATCTAAACATTGAATTACTAAATTACTTAAAACATGTAATCACATAAATATATATCATTCAGTTTGTTTCATCACATCGTTCGTGTTTACATAAACATTGACCATCAAATACATATACAAAATGTATCGCAAAAGAATACTATACAGTCCTAACTACCCGGTGCTACATATCAGAGCATAATCGACCAAAAGAATGAAGCTATACTTCATAAAAGACCTCTATCAAGCTAATCTGCAATGCCTCATAGAGCATTATAAAACAGCAGAAGGGTGAGAAATATTATCATAATAATCAATGCATATAATTATATATATACATAAGCATAGAATACACATATTCCGCATTTCTCACCACAATTCATTCATAACTCATCATACATTTCACAACATGTATAAACACACATGGATAATCACAAAACATGTTTTCATCATGCACATATCCATATTTCTCAACTCAACAATCCACACACAAGCATATTTCATATAACAATGATATCTATGCTATGTGACCCAACACAAATCAATGCAACTCATGCCATGTGGTACCAACACTTGTTATCACTTTTTTGTTTTTACACTTAAATCGGGTCCACTCTTCTAGACCGATAACAACAAAAGCCCGTCCTCTAAGCTTTCAAACCCACTCTCTAGGCTTCGGACAAATCACTAGTCTCCATGAAACTAGCAAGCATTGCCTCTTGACTAAATGATGCATATGCAATCAACAACCAAATGCACTTAAGACCGTTCTCGTATCTTAATCTCATGCATTCTCAATAATTCATCACATAAGAATTATAACATGATTGCACACACAACATATTTCACATAATCAAAGTATCCATGCTTTAAATCATCATCACCATATTATCAAGCAATGCACACATATTCACTAATATGTTCTCATGCATTATTCACATACAATTACAAGCAATGCACACATATTCGCAATATGTTCTCATGCATTATTAATAACATCGTGCCAACGGCAACGAACTCAATCACAATCATCGTGCACTTTTAATCAATTAAAACAATGCATATATTGTCAAAAGACCACATTTCATAATCGATTCCACAATCTAGGATTCACGCCATACGGCTACCCACAACATATCGCACCATAGCACACAACTATTCATTCCGATAAGGATCAAACACAATCGAACCATAGCACACAACTATTCATTTCCGTCGGATGGAATCACAAGGAAAATAAAATCCTGTCACGCTCGCTGGCTTGCTCGCCTAGCGAGTCCCTAGCGAATACTCGCTATCTGTTCGCCTAGCGAACAAGCTCGCGAAGGCAAACAGAAGCTACTGACTTCGTTCGCTTCCTACTCACTGCAGCGAAGTCCTAGCGAATCCTTCGCTACCTCACTCGCTACCAGCGAACTAGATCAAATACATTATGTCCAAGTCTGGGACCACTCGCTAACTTGCTCGCCTAGCGAGTTGCTAGCGAACACTCGTGACCTGTTTGCCTAGCGAAGGT